CAACAACAACAACAACAACAACAACAACAACAACAACAACAACAATGTAATAACAATCTCTATCGTTGTTTCTTCCCACGCCAGGACTATGGCTGAAGACGATCAGCTTCACGGACAATCAAGGTCAGATGCAGGGCAAGGTCACGAAGGTCGTCTCAGTGGCCACCAACGAGGAACTCCTGGAGAAGGTCATTGCTTTCTCCCCCGGGCCGACGGAGGCGCAGCTCAACATCACGGTGGCGTCGCTGCTCGACCGGGAGACGATCGCCGAGTACAAGATATCGTGGTCCTACAAGGACGTGCGAGACGACTACGGATGGGTACGACAGGGGTAGAGATTAACTTTCGAACAGGGAAGTCCGTCAACGGACTCCCTGCCCTCAAAAAGAAGGAGTCTGCAGCAAAATGAGGGAGTCTGCAGCAAAATGAGGGAGTCTGCAGTCTGAAGTTCAAAACTAAAGATGTTAACAATAACACATGTGCTTATTTTGAAGATTTATGCGGTTGCACGTGTGCCAACTTTTCTTTGGACATTTGCTGGAAAAAATACGGTAATTCTGCGAGGCCGTGCGCTGGAACGAACTAGTTAGTATGGCAGAATTTTCAGGGAGTCGCACGGACTCCTGCATATGTCAAATTAGGGAGTCCGACAGTAAATCAGGCAGTATATAACTCCAGACTCGCGTTAATTTCGCACCCGGATACAAGGCGTCCTGAGACGCTGAAATCGACGGCAGAGATTGCCGATAGATTGATCTGTATACAGTTAAACCTTGATTATTCGAACGAGACGGGCGCGGAGTATTTTGTTCGGATAACTGATTATTCGGATAACTGATCTGATCGTAAGTAATTATTAAATATTCACGGGACCTTGAGATCTTGTTCGGATAATCTGAAATTCGGATAATTGATGTTCGGATAACCGAGGTTTGACTGTAAATGATAAAAGTCACCACAGCCGCCTTTCGACAGGAAAATTTGTCCTCACTAAAAGAAATAGTGCTGCTATAGAGGTGACCGCGAAATGTGCTGTTGCTCAGTTCAAAGTGTTCCTATACTGTTTCACAATTGTAATTATGTATAAAACACACGCTTATACATCACAACCTCAACTACAACCACAAACCACAACTTATAGAAATTAAATTAAATTGTATTATATAAATATTCTAAGCTCAACCCGCCTGCGTTCTGATTTTAGATTGAGCCCCCGAACATTTTGTTCACGGTGGAGGACGTCAACGACAACCCGCCGGAATGGCACGACCTTCCGCCCGACAACAAGGTCGAAGTGGAGGAGGTGAGCAAATAAAATTAAAACGAATGTCGCGATAGCATCTGACAAGACATTTGATTTATGTCGACGGCCACGTACGCCGCCGTTCGAAATCCGCCAGTGTTTGTTGCCAAAATAATAAGCACATGAGAACTAACCCATCACGTTCTTCCCTCACACCTTCAATCACAGATGTCTCGTTCAAGACTTTGACACCTTCCCCCTTTCCCTCCGTATCACCTATTATAGCTGCCAGGGTCTATGTCTCCCTGGGTATGGCCGGAACGTACCCTGGTACTATCTAATATGCCGGACCGTACCTCGCCTACTCCACTAACGAGTCTAGCGAGTCGCCTACGCCTACTCTCTAACCCTAACCCTAACCCTAACCCTAACCATATCAGATAGTTACCAGGGTACGTTCCGGTATACCGGACCGTACTCAGGGTACGTTCCGGCAGTACCCAGCGAGACATAGACCCTATCAGCCCTATTATACGTTCAACCTACCTACATTTTGCATTCCATACCCTCGTTCTGCTCCACCTAACAGTTTGTATCTTCCCCTTCCCTCCATCTCACCTTTTGTACCTTTCCCTTCCTTCCATCATACCTTTCATACCCTCCTTCCTCCTCCATCTCACCGTTATACCTTCCCTTTGAAGTTTCCTTCCATCATACCTTTCATACCCTCCTTCCTCCTTCCCCCTCTATCTTAGCTTTTATACCTTCCCCTCTCTCCATTTTGCCTTTCATACCTTCCCCTTCCACTCAATTAACTTTAAACATAGTCAGATACACCCACGTGCACGCAGGCGCGGCTGCACAAACGCGTTTGCACGTACTCACGCGCACGCACGCACGCACGCGCGCACACCTCGTTTGAATTGCAATCGGATGGTGAACAAGCGGATGTTGTAATTTGTCAAGTGGTGTCGAGTGATTTTAACGCGACCCATCGCGTGTTCCTACTCACTACCTTCTCTCTCACACGCGCTCTCTCTTTCTCTCTCTATCTCTCTCTCTTAAGTGGTCATGTTCACCTCTCTCTCACCTCTCATCTCTCTCTCCTATCTTTCTCTCTCTCACACACCCCCTCTCTCTCGCGCGCTCCCACTTTCTCTCTCCTTTCTCTCTCTATCTCTCTCTCTCTCTCTCTCTCTCTCTCTCAATCTATCGTTCTCTCTCCCCTCTCTCTCTCTCCTACGCGCTTGCTACGGTAGGAGTAGGTATAGGTCCACTGAGAGCTAGACTGACCAAGCATTGTTAGCAGCTGTGTTTACATGCCTTGTGTTACGGGGCGCCATGCAGGACAGGGCTCAATTTTGTCTAACAAAACTCAATTCTGTCTCACAAAACTAACTTTTGTGCACACAACTCAATTCTGTCTCACAAAAGTCAATTTTGTGAACACAAAACTCAATTCTGTCAATTCCTGTCCACAACTCAGATTTTGTGAAACAGAACTCAATTCTGTCAGTCCTGCTACCACAAAACTAAAATTTTGTGAACACAAACTCCAATTCTGTCAATCCTGTCCACAAAACTCATTTTGATAAACACAAAACTTCAATTCTTGTCTATCGGGGCGTTCTACAAAAACTCCGATATTGTTTGCCTTCGCAATATTGTATTGGCCCTACGAGTGTAAGTAAGGCGACTACCATTGGTCAGTAGAAGAAAACACGATGGCGGGACATGACAATTTTCTTCCACGGCCCAGTTTGCTCTGACCAATTCGTGCCGTTCTTACGATGCGTGTGCCATATTTTGGGCAACAAATCGACGGTTTGTGTGGGAACCGGACAGATCTTGACAGTATTGAGTTTTGTGTTCTACAAAATTAGTTTTGCCTGGAACCTGATTTGACTAGAATTGAGTTCTTGCTGTTCACAAAATTGTAGTTTTTGTGGGACAGGATTTGACAGAACTGAGTTTTGTCATATGACAAAACTACATTTTTGTTCAAGCTTATATATGCTACAAATGCATGTCCTGCATGTCCGCCCGTATGTAATGTACCTGCATGCCGCCTTATAAACGCTACGCAGCCACACCACAGTGGCGGGCTGTGACATGTAGCGACAGTCGGAGAGGACATAGCCTGGTCATCCGGCGCTGAAGCTTTCGTATGTTTTGCTAGGCACGGCAACATTGGCTGTAGGTGGGGGGGGCGGCTTATGTCCCTGGTGATCGTATTTTTTAGCAACGGCAACGCAGCAGTAAAGCAGTAGCAGCAACAGCAGCAGCAGCAGCAGACAGAAACAGTAGTAGCAGTAGCGCAGCAGTAGTAGTAGTACGCGCAGCACAGCAGCAGCAAGCAGCAACGCACAGCAGCATCAGCAGCAGTTGTAATACGAAATAAGCAACAGCGAGCAGCACAACACACCATCACCAACACCGATCACAACCAGCAGCGCACACCACCACCTACATTCACATGCACACATACATAAATTACCTTATATTATATTGATTAAATTATTATATTAATAATTAAATTTAATAATAATTAGTAAATGAATATACATTTATCAAACAACGACCACAAGCGCACGACGGCTGTAAAAACTATGCAGTAATCACCCGTTCTCATTGCAGTCGCAATCCTAGACTTAGAATCCGCAACCGAGACTGCTACTTCGTCCTGTAGCGCTCGTAAGGCACCGGTATCTCGCTCTTTCGTTGGATCAATATATAAGTATTCTTAATATATATATATCTAATATATGTGATGTTATATATTATATTATCATCAAGCTAATTATATAGTATATACTATATAAAATGTTATTAAGCTTATAGTTAGTGCGACAAAACTTAATAATGTAGTAACCCCCAAATATAAATATAACCGGAAAAAAAAGAGATCTGGTTAATATCTCTCTCTTGAAAGGAAAGACGACCAATGTCCTCTCGCGTGGCGTGTCAACATCTGCAGTCAGTTAGCGAGCAGCAGCAGTAGCAGCAGCAGCAGTGCAGCAGCAGCAGTAAGCAGCAATTAGACAGCAGCAGCGAGCAGCCAGTAGCAGTAGCAGCTTAGCGTAACATGCAGCTAGGCAACAGCAGTAGCAGCATGCAGCCGAACAGCCAGCAGTCAACAGCAGCAGCAGTACGGCAGCACGCGTCCAGTAGTAGCAAGCAGCAGCAGCAGCAGGAGCCAGCAGGAGCAGCAGCACCAGCATAGTAGTATTAGCGCCAGCAATAACAGCAGCTAGCAGGCAGCAAAGCACAGTAGCGCAGCCAGCAAACAGCAGCTAAGTTAACAGCAGCAGCAGTAAAGCAGCAGAGAGCAGCCCGCAGTAGCTAGTAACAGCCAGCAGCGAGTTAACAGCAACAGCAGTAGCCAGAGGCAACCAGCAATAGTAGTAGCAGCAGCAGCAGCAGCAGCAGCATCCTCCGTAGTTGTCGCAGCCCAGACGACGCGAAGACGCAAACCGACTGATTGATGCGACGTTAATTGTTGTCCACCCAGACGATGTCTTGTTAATTTACGCTAATTAAAGGCTGTTAGTGAAGTCCCGTGTCTAATGCATCTTTTAAATTAGAAACACCCCCCTCCACCTAGTCGTAAATGAGAAGTTGCGGGGCGGACACAAGCTTCGAGATTAAAAAAAAAAGCAGCCGACATTTTTGGTCTTCTTTTTCGTTGTCATAGTTACATGTCGCGTGTGTCAATTTTCTGTACATAGTGATGCAGTATTGTCCTCCCTTCCTCCCTTCCCCCTTATTCCCATCATTTTTTCCCCTCCCCCTGCCCCCTTCTTCTCCCACTCCTCCACCATTCACACACGCCAGAATATCACACGCCACATTGCACATTTTTCGGGCTGCCGCCTAGACACTTTTAAAGTCGCATACGTGTTAGTCCACAGCCTTGAGACAGCAGGCAAGTAAAAACTGAAAATAATATGAACCACACATTCACAAGATAGGCCCTACTACCGTACCCCTCTGTTACAGTTCCCTGTTGCCGTTCACTGTAGGTTATTCAACTTTCCTGCATAAAAACGGTATGTAAAAACTATTACGCCAATACGCCTCCCGCACTTCGCCGTCTGCGACGTAGTGCGCTTGTGAACGCTATTGCATGATTAACATATTATATATATGATATGATATATTTTATATTAATATTTACTATCTCACTCTATATAGACTCTATCTTGCTCTTATCTCTATTCTCATATGTTATGCGCTGTTAGTCGAGGAGTGGTTCATGCATGCGCTAGGTGGTGTGATCCGACCGCCAGTGTAGCCAGCTTTACTACTTAAGCCAGACGTTCTGTGTGCGTGCGTGTGCCTGTGTGTGACGTGTTGCGCGTGCATGTTGTTGCGTGTAGTCGTTTAATGACGTTGATTTG